TGAATAAACATTTTATCAGAAAATTTACTAAAAATATAATAGTACATGTACATAATAAAAAATAAATTAATTTTCAGTCTATGTTGAAAAGTATCAATTTTGGAAAATTTGTATCATGTTAACTTTATTGAAATTTAATTTTCAACAAATCGAATATTGGTAGCATGAATTGCAAACATGATCAATACAAATTCATTAAGAAGTGTTTGGAATCCATTTTTTTTACCTATAAATATAGTGGATCTTTGAAACAGTTTGGTGATGTAAAATAAATAAAAGGATGGCTTCTGACAGCATTGTGACACATGTATGGTTGTCAGGAATTAAGCTGCAGAGAGAATTATCCCAAATTACAAAACACTTTGCAACTGAACAAAGTTAGTGCTTTTAAAAATGTTGTCTTTACAAGATTTTTGAAAAGGTTTACAACAACAAATGGATTTCTCTACTCGTCACAATACACTTAAACTCCAAGACGTAAACATCATAAGCAGATTTAGAGACACAAAGTTTTTGTATTTTGGCACAGTATGTTTTTAACTTGCAAGATTACTGCTTTATTGGGAGATTAAGAGAAATTGGTGACATGTGACTATGGCAACCATATATGCATAGTGAATTAACATTAACCATGGCAACTGATAATCTTTTTATTACAGAATATGCCACATTAAAAAGTGTAAGCAAATTCAAAAGTGCCATAGCAACCATACATCATTAATGATTCCCACATGAACCCAATATTATGCAATTCATTATTTCACACAAAAACATTCATTTCGCTACATCAGTCACCTTAACAGATCAGATGAGTGCTTCAATACAAAATGCAGATGATTTTATGCAATATTTTGTCTTTTTTTCTAATTTTTTTAAATAATTTTGAACCAAATTAGCATAATTTCCTAGAAATAGATCTTGATTATAAAAAAATTATGTTAATAAATCATGAAAAAAGTCTGACTTTGGCACTCAAAGCATTGAAGCAAACGTAATCGCAAGGTCCAATATCAATTTTGGTGCAAACTCGCACACCAGCTCAATGCCTTACATCTAGATTTCTGATATGCACAAAGACTTTTGAAAATCAAAATTATTTTAGAACTAGACAAAGCTACAATTATTGCATTTTTTAATTACTCAGTAAAATATAACCTACTGAACAAAATCATTTGAGTGTACTCTTACTTGAGATGTCACTAAACCCGAATTAATATATCTTAATTTTACAGAAAACTGACATATAATTAGATGACATCACGTTGTCATTACCATATGAAAAAAAAAACAATTACACTGTGAGAATTGCCCTGTCAAGTCAAATTACATTCATACCAGTAATTTGCTTCAAATAGAGCAAATATTATTCTGAGAGATATACTCAATAAAGCATTTACTTTGTTAGTCAGCTAGGTTCTAATACATTCTGAATTACATATATTGTTGTACAGAACAAAAAGACATTTTAGAAAAGACAAATATTCTGATTGTTTACAAATTGCACTTAATTATACAAATTATTAATCTCTTAATGCATTAATTTGCCAGAAGCAGTTATTAGCAAAAATGAAATTGTTTACAAACCGGTGGGGTGCAAACACTTGTTAACACAGCTTTGCTATTCTAATATATTTGATCTCCTCATATCAAATGTTCATTATTTAAATTTATCAGCATGAATGTTACTGACAGCTATATTTATAACAATCATATTAATTTTGCTGTGAGAAACTTATTCACATAAAACTTAGTATTATTGGGTTAATGGCAACAGTAATTTAAAAAAAACTATATTGATACATTTTCTATTGCTTCATGGTAAAACATTGCTATATTCCAAAATTGTCTCACAATTGCATAGATTTTGAGTTCAAGCTGAAAGGGATGTGTTCATAAGGGGCCCATAACATCATATTTTTTACACAAAATCTGAACATGCCCTGCTTGACGACAATCCCTTTAATTGACGGCAGTCACATATATTTAAAAAAAAAAAAAGATGATTTTTTTTTCACCAGTATGCATGGCACAAATCAGTTTCTTTTAGTGACGCGAGAACTTTCTCTCTGGAGTTTTATCACTACCGTGTACATTCATTGAGATAATACAAAATCAGTATGTCTTTGACATATTTGACGTATGCATTCTGTTTCATTTTAAATTCATATCAAATCATTATTGTGTGAGAAAAACATTAACTTTACTATTATCATAACTTTTTTCAGTATCAGAATTCTCAATATCATCACCCTCAATAATATCATCATTGTCATCAAATTCAGTTTCCTCCAGCTTAGCAGGAGTTTCTTCTTCATCATTTGCTTTTGATGTTCCTACATTTCCCGTCTCATCAGCAACATTCTTACTGTTATCATCATCATCATCATCATCATTACTAATACTATTATTTTCAGAGTTTTTCTGCTCAGTCAGATTGTCCCCTTTGTGTTCTTCACTTACAATGTCAATATCATTTTTTTCTTCATTCTGTGGTTTACTTTGCTGTTCATGATGACTTTCTCCATCATCTACACAGCTTGCCTTAACATTGGGATCAGTATCAGTGTTATTATTTTCTGTTGTATCGTCTGTAACATTTTCCTGACCATCTGTTCTCAGAAAATCATCGACAATGTTTATTTTCTGTAACAAATCCTCCAGTCTCTGATCACTTTCTGATTCTGGTGGTGGAACTTCTTGGTTCTCACTGAGATTAAAATGAACTTTTTTCTTTTCAGAATGTTTGTCATCAAGTTCCATATTGCTGTCTATTGATTGGTCAACATTCTTTTCCTCTGATTGGTTGATTTCGTCCTTCGTATTTGTTTCTGATGTTTCACATTTCTCTTCTTGTTGTCCAGCTGTTTCTTTGTCCTCTTTTTTAGTTCTATTGGTAACTACCTTTGGTTGTTTTTTTCCTTTCTTTTCATTAGATGTTACAGGTTCATGTTTAGTGTCAGTGTTAATTTTTTGAACCCCATCAGGAATTTCACATCCTTGTGGCTCTGGTCGTTCAATTTGACTGGTGCTTGTCACTCGAGTTTTCCTGGTAGTTGATGATGGTCGGTTTGTTGATGGAGGTCGTGGCTTCCTAGGAGAAGCACCTGGTCTTCCTTTCATTGATGGTGCAGTGCTTGGTCTTGAGTCCACAGATGCCCTTGGTTCTTTCCCATCTGTGATGTCAGCATTCCATTTGTAACTTGTTGGTCCCTCATCTTCCGATTTGGGTACTTCTGTTAAAGTTGCAGTGCTTGCCGATGTGGGTCTCTGGGGACTCTGAGACTTGTCTCTTGGCGACTTCTTAAGCCCAGTGTCAATTTTAAACTTTGATTCTGTTACACGTGCAATTCTTTCTTTTGCTAGTTTAGGGATGATATTCTGCAGATCTGGATCACTCCAGGCATTTTTAGCTTTGCTTACTTCATCTTGAAGCTGCTTATGTTTATCATCTTTGTGTTTTTGCTTCAACCATTCATCATAGTTCATCCCAGCCATAGGATTGGTACTTCTTTTGGGTTGATAGCGTGACAATGGTGGCCTGTCTTCTCCATTCATTCTATCATTTTTGACAGGTGTTCCACCACTGAAAGGCCTCTTGTATCTATATTCACTTGGACTTGACAAACTTCTAGTTGGATAAGTAGCACTCATCGGATGCACCTTATTTTTACCTCTCCTGTTTTTCCTCTTAGCATCCAGTTTCACTGTACTACTTACATCATTCTCTTCTTTTTCTTTTTCCACCCCAGCATCACCATGGCCACCAGTGTCCTTTTCTTCATCATCTTTTTTTGCCTCGGTCCTGCGTTTAGATATTTTAAGTTTCTTTTTCTGTGCTGCTATTGCAGCTCGTTTTTGTGCTACCCTGGCATTTAGTTCTTCCAATCTCCTAGCTTTCTCGATCCTCTCTTCCTCTAACCTAGACATTTCTAACTCTTTTTGTTTTCTTTGTTCCTTTCTGATATAGAGCTCTTCTTTTTTCTTTGATTTCATCCAGTCTGTGTACAAATCCTCTGCCTTCACTAATCTTTCAATTTTTTCTTCCATCTCATATTTCTCAACATTTCTTTTCCGTTTCTCTTTTTTGCGTTGCTCTCTCTTTTGCTTTCTCAGTGCTGCATTCTTCTTCTTCAGCCAGCCAAGGATTTCTGCATTCTGTGTACTTCTCAAATCATGGTCTGACGGCATAAATACTTTGGGTTCACGGGGTGAAAATGGAGGTGTTGGGCTTTGAGTTGGTGTTTTTCTTTCTTTTCTTTTTGTTTTTCTCCTAACTGGCCTGCCAGGCTTCTCCTTCTCAATACTGTCTCTCGGATCGATTGGAGGAATTCCGAATCTAGTTGCTGGGAGATGTAACATAGATAACAAATTAGTAGCAAGTCTGACAGTCTCTTCATCCTTCAAGGTGAACTTATGGGTGTCAACTGGATGTGTGTGCTCCATTCTTTGTCGTGTCAAATGATGTTTCAGTATACTTCTTCCAGGGGGTGTGTCAGCAATGAGAATTGATCTGGGATTGAACTCACTTTCAGCTTTACTCATCATTTCAGAAAAGGAAACTCTTTTTCGTCTTGATTCATTTCCACTCTCCTCCTCCTCCTCATCATCACTGTCCTCATCATCAATGTAGCTCTCATTTTCCTCCCTCTCATAATCAGAGGAGTAGTGAGAAGAAGAACTGGAGACATCGTCTTTGTGAACATTTGTCTCCATAGCAACAGCTTCAATAACTTCCTCAAAATAATCGTCATTGTTTTCTTTCTCTTTTTGGAGAGTAGGTCTATTTTTAATCAAAACATGTTTTGCTAAGTTTTTATATTCAGTATCAGTTTTCGCAACTGTATGTCCTTTACTGCGTTCATCATATCTAGCTGATCGCACTCTGTGATGCCTCTCTCTCCCATGCTCACGTTCACTATTATATGAATATTTCAACCCATGATTCCCTGTTGATTCAGCTCTCAACATAGCTGCAGCACTCTGTTGCATCTGTAGAAATTGTTGTTGTAACAGTGCTTGGCTTTGAGTGTACTGGTCTAACAGTAATTGTTGTAATTCTCCATATTTTTTAACCAGTGTCCTGTTTCTTTGCTGCTCTGACAATGTACTTGCTCTCAATCCCCTCTTGTCTTGCTCATTCTCTTCATCAAGAATGGTTTTCAGAAGATTTCTCTTTGACATGGACTTGGACATCCTACAGAAATGACAAACAGAAATAATATTAGTTGAAACTTCAAAAGCAGAACAAAATTCAACAAATAAAATTTAACATCATTTTCAGTTTAAGCATCAGAGAGGCAATTTGGCTTCTTATTAATTTGAGGTATAGTATACTGCATTACACAATACTTGAAATTCTTTATGATTTGTACTCCTGGCATAGTATTTTTAGACATACTGTAAAATGACAATTTTCACTGAGTTTAAATTTCACTGATTTACCATTTCAGGCATATTCAATGGGTTTTAAATTCATGGTTTCATCATTTACATAATGTGTTCTATGCTAAATTTTACATATTCACTGGGTTTTAATTTAGCGCATTTTCCAGTCAGCGAAATAAGCAAAATTAAAACCTAGTGAATAATTAAACTTTTTACAGTAAGAAGTCTAGAGACTAAACAAATTCAAGAATTTTTTTTATTTAGTATGGTTGTAAATTAATGTTGGTTTAATAATACCAAAAATCATTCATACTCTGAGATAAACTCCAAAATAGGTTTGTTATTTGTTATTTATTTTATTTTATTTATGCATGTCTGTTTGAAATCTGCACTTTGCACATTTTCCAAAGATGTTTTATCAATCCAAATCAACTTTTAATGCAAGGGTTCACAAATATGTAATTGATAAATGTTGACATCTTAATTCTAATACAAAAAATACCTAAAACTCATCCCTGCATTATTTTTCAATTTCCCTGTGACCAAAGCAAAGTCTATTTTTATTTTGACCTAATATCAAACTTTACCAGCAATTTGAAAAACATTAGAAAAGACAAAAATGTTCCTTCTCAGAATGCATGAAGCATATCAATCGATAGCTGTGTATTGGTGACATTGACCAAAATACAAATAACATAGGATTCCCAGGAATAGTGCAGTATTATGCATGTTACGTACTTCCTACGTTAGCTATGTTTAGCACATACCTGAAACAGAATGCTTATCGTAGTGCAAACAAATAATAAATGATCTACTGTAATACGTCAGGTTACAATCTGACTCGCAAACATCAGAACTTTCAGATTTGAGTTTTGCCAGCAATACAACTTTAAGGGGCTATGATTTGTATTAAAAAAAAAATATTTTTATACTACCGAAGAAATACAATTATTTTCATATGTCTGTTTTATTCATTTATTCATTTGGTGCCACAAAGACCATTTGGCTACTTTGAGAAACAAAATAAATGATATGCAGCAAATGTCCTTTTAACGGTTACTATTTACCAATCAAAAGAATTATTAATCCATTTAATGCAACATATGAAATCAATTCTCAGTCACTAATGGACAGCAGGTCACAGAGATATGATATGGTTTGCTATAAAAGTATTATATTAAGTTTACATAGCTTTTATAGAAATTGCAATGAATCAAAAGTGAATAGCAAGTATACTTTATAGAATGTTTATGCTTGAGTGTTCAAAGGAAATTAAGTGTAATGACAGTAGGAAATAATATTATACAAGTTTTATGGATATAAAAACCATTAGATGTGTTTGTCTAGAGAGTATGTATCAATAAAGGTCTGAACAAATGTTAAATTTATCCAATAATTCAAACAATATATTATAATTAACCACTGCAGCTGATTTAATGTGATGTTTTGTAAACTTCACCATGAGACATTGTACATGTTACCGTACTCGACCGCGTTAGCGCCCAGGGGCCTCAACTCAGAAAATCACGATTTTGCTTACCCGAGTACCCCCCTCGAAAAAGGTGAAGGTAATTTTTGATGATGATCCAATATGGTCGCCATATCTAGGCAACAATACACCATGAAATGGTTCTATTAAAATTAAAAAAAAAAAATCAGCAAATATGGTTCATGCACACTTTCTTTCAGTGGCGGATCCATGACGCATGACGATTCATATGATCTGGATTACGCATAGCTTCTCTGCGACTTGCGCTCCGTATATCTTAAGCGAAGCTTGGACCCCCCCCCCCCAATACATTTTGCTGGATCCGCCACTGCTTTCTTTTTGTTAGTTTTGAAAATAGTATTGCATAATTATATTCTGAATTCTAAACGGCTGCACTCAAATTGAAAGGCTGGGAGTGAACACTGTTGTGGGCACTGATCATGGCTAAATATCATTTATACTCTTAATTTAATAATACCATGAACCATTTCAGTTTGGCTGCTAAAGATTTCTCTTGCAAAATTACCGGGGGTAGAGCAAATACGATATGGTCCATTCTTTTGGTAATGGTGTATGTTGTTATAATCTTATAATCAAAGTAGACTTATGTACTATTAGTATAGACAAATTAACATTGTTGACAATAACGCTGATCCCAGATTGCATGATAGAGATGATACATTGCACAGGTCAGATTGCATCAATTACAATTATAATATAGTAATTAATTGCTGCAGATGTCATTTTAATGTACTGTATTCGAACTATTAGTATCACATCTACAATAGCAGTGCATATTAACTCGAAATTGCATTTCATGTAAAAAAAATTATTGAAACATTATTCATTTTGACCATAAAAACCTCTCTGTAATTTACCTAAGTGCATGTACTATTAAGAGCAAATAGTGTACCGGTATACTGTAAAATACTTTATTTTACCTGGAATTAATTTTCGCTGAAAAAACATTTTGGCTGATTCGTGTGAAGATTATTTTCTGTGATTTTTGATGAAATGAATTTGAAATATAGGAATAGAATTTGAAATGAGTATTTTCACTGAATTTTAATTTCACTGATTCACTCATTTAACAAACATAAATTTCAAGCGAAAATAAAGTACTTCACAGTATTCCTAATTGTACCAAATATTTGAAAATTTCATGGGGCTGGTACAATTATTAAAGGGGCACCTTCCAGTTAAGCCTAATCTCACAACAAATTTACTCTCTGGATTACAATAACAATGGATAACAAAAGATAGATTAACATTGTAAACAACATAAACAATAGTGTCCCATGATTCTTTGGTGCAATCCAAGGGATTGAGCGATTCCCCTTTAAGGATTATAATCATAGTAGTCAGCTGACTAGGCAAACTGTCATGACAATACTGGGGTATAAGTAAATACACAGTTTATCAGTATGTTCACGATGCTGGTATACTAACTAGATTAAATCTCAATACCTTAGTGTTGTAATTATTCACTGGGTTTTAATTTTGCTTATCTCGCTGACTGAAAAATGCGCTAAATTAAAACCCTGTGAATATGTCAAATTTAGCATAGAACACATTATCTAAGTGAGAAAACCATGAATTTAAAACCCACTGAATATGTCTGAAATCAGCGAAATTTAAACCCAGTAAAAATTAGTCATTTTACAGTATGAATGGCACAACCAGTCACCTGTCTTCCGCCCTCCTCCCTCCCTCCCTCCCTCCCTCCTAGTGGTGACATAATCTATCACATTGACACATTAATTACTTATTCAACAATGGAATTCAGAGGCGTAGACGGTGGACTCGGGTTTATAGTTCCATGGGTTAATCAAATCTCTGATTTCAGACAGGTGGTGGATAACAAATGACCATCACGTGTCAGTTACCTTATACTTAATACAAACAATTGTCAACAATACAAGTTGTCATAATTAATTTTAACATTCCAAACAATACATGCAA